ACCAACTTCAAACCCTCATATCTCCACCAATAATGATCCAAATCCAACAAATGAAGATGTTCCAGAAACCTCTTGACAAGGAGGACAGCTCAGCCAGATCCTGGATAATGACAGGCTAAGCCCAAGCCTAAGCCCAAGCACCAACCGCGCAGGAAGACAGCCAACAACGCCACCGCCACCGCCACTGCCTATATCCCGATGACCAAGTTGGAGCTTAGCTGACTTGTCAACAACGGCTACTACAAGCACCCGCTGATCATCAACAGGTCTCTGCACGCCAGAGAGTACATGTATGCACTTGCCACCTTAGCCTCCCTCACCAAGTCTCTGATTCCTACCCAAGAATCTGCCGGAAGCCCAAAAGCGGGCAAGGAGGCAATTTCGGCAGGCGTCGAGAGGCTAAGGTGCCGCCTGTTGAAGGATTGATTCGTGTTTTCATGACAGGCGTGATGTTGGGCGGAAAACAAGGACTTGTCGAGATGGTTTTAAAAGAGGAGTTCACAGAGATGGACATGAAGATGAGACCCTCAGACGCAAAGAGCACAGGGATTCTAGGCTTGCAATACTTCCTTGTCAATCCTTGCGAGTCCGCTATTGTGTGTGGCAACTGATGGAGGTGGCATATGCCATTTAGTGAGTCGCGGTGCATTGACTCAATTGGGCATTGGCTGAGATTCGTCAAGTGCTCAGACATTGATCGGTTCCCCCTTTCCCTTACCTTGCCCCTTATGTAGATTCTTTTGCACATTTGCAACTTGGACAAGAATTCCTGCCGGTGGTGTTGGCCTCATGCCCTTTGAAGGTGAATACTTGGTCCACGCACCCGGCTTCGGCCAATTTTGTTTCTGCACAAAGATCTACCAGGTGAGGCACATGCTCACCAAGCAGAACTGCCTCCAGGGATCTGCGCTGCTGTTTACCCCTTGCGATGGCGTGCACCACCTTGGGGTTGCGGGGCATCAAAGTGGCCGAGAAAGTCAGCGAAGGTCTTGACTGGGTCAGTGAAGAATACCTAAGGGTCTACTTGCCCGAGATCCTAGCCGTCAACAGATCCCACCACTTTGCCCTGGAGCTGATGGCGGGGATCTGCACAGTCCTCACCATCAACTTGCCCTCGATATGAGGGTGCTTGTCCGCCCCTAACACTTCTGGGGCACGTTTGCCAAGCTCCTCTGGAAGGTGAAGCGCGACTGCGACCTGATTTTGATCAGCAAGGTAAAGGCAAGCAGGGGAGACTGAAACCGAGGATCTTCATACCCTGGCAAGACGGTCACGCTTCCTCCACTCTTCAAACTCCCACTCCATTCCCATCCTCAGACCTCCAAAGGAACTTCGCTCGGAGTTGACAATCATCAAATTCTGTCGGCGTTTTAGGCGGAGTTTAGACTTCTTACTTTTCAGATTAGTTATGGGTGGGTGCGGGAGGGGGGTTATGGGATGTACCTCATAGGGGTGGGGCGATACGGGGCAGTATGGGCAATACGAGCAATAGGATATGAAGCATCAATAGGATTTGAGATTTGATGGTTCTATTTATGGACAATTTAGAGGACTATTTTCGGAGAATTGTGAACTGATTGCAAGGCATTTGGTCAGACTTTGTCCAGTTGCAGCGCAACTTAACTCTCAATAAATAGTTCGATCTGAGCGATTCCGAGCAAAACTATGTAGGGCCCACTGTCCGCTGTAACCCTACCCAGCCTGCGTAAAATCTGAAAATTTCTGGTACATTTTTTGGCAATCTGAAGGAATAGTTGGTTCGATGTTGACACGTGGCCAGAGCAATTTCGCAACTCCTCACGCGACACAATCAAATCATTGGATATTTATCGCAGCAACTTTTGGGCAATTTTCGGGCAATTTTTGGGCTCTAGCAATGTTCCAACAATGTGGTACAGTGAGTATGCTAATATCAGCTTTTCTCTTCAGCGATATTCTTTCTTCTCACCATCGACGCAACTCTTCGCTAGCGGTAATACAGAGGTCAGTGGGGTAGAAGCGAGTGAAATATCATTGGAAGCGGATGAAAGAGATGGACCTCGGAAGCTTGGAGTCAGATATGGTTCCGGACGTTGTTCCATGGGTCAAGCTGCTGGGGGGTAGGGAAGGAAGGACCTTTACCTGCACCTGCCAGCAACTGAAGACGTGCCATTTCTGAAGAATCAGAAGATTCTTTACCCCTAATTATGCTCTGACGAGTCCTCATTGACTCCCTGACCACTCCCTCCAACATCACGTTTGCCGGCGCCCCTTCTTCCCGTAGTAACTTTTGCGGAGCGAATTTGGAAACAGATAGAATGTTGGTGTACGGGGGCTCTGATTTAGTATTTGGTTCACTAGAGAGATGCCTTGAAGATACGTTCGTCTTCAACGTTGAGTAATTCTTTGTGCGGTAGGGATAAAAGTCGTTGAGATCTTCCTATTGATCATCGAATGATCAATAACTTCCTTCGCAGCTAGCACATCACGTTAGTCCAAAATCAACACCGTTACCAATCCCCGTGCTGGCTGCTAACCAGCCTGTGCATCACTCTCTGGCAATGTCTACCTGTTCGGAGGCATCAACGGCGTTCCAACACCGACCCGAACCCCCTATGGATTTTTAACCACACCTATTTGTCATGGGCGCCTGTTCTTACCTCGGATTACAAAGGCTCTGCTCCAGATATCAATGCCGAATCTATGACAAGCGTTGGCAATAAATACCTCGTCGTTTCTGGTAATTTCGAAGGATGGGCACCTAGTGAAATTGTGCACTCCAATAAACTTGCTCTAACCGGCTTGTTTCTGATCTTTCTTGAAGGCGGGATAGGTAGCGATTCGTCCTTTCACTTCTTTGACACGACCACCGCGACATGGCTGTCAGGGCCGCCCTCGGACTTAGCTAGCTTCGCGACCCCGGGAACTTTACCTGCACCCTTGTCTGGTCAGACGACTCAACCAGCACCTTCATCTTCCCCGACGACTCACTCCACCTGCACTTCCTTCTCCCGCGGCGACCCCACCTGCATCTTCATCTGCTTCGCCGATACCCCTCTCTTCCCCCTCCTCGTCCCCGCACACCGCGGCAATTGCTGGAGGGGCTGCCGGAGGCGTTATCGCGTTCTTTATTGCGAAAACGCGTGGTGCTTCCTCACGATCTGACGCCTTCGCTGTCTAAATCGCCGGATAAAGGCGCCTTCTGTTCAGGACCATCACGATATAGCCGCCTATGAACCCACTCTGGCCAGCACCAGCGTCAGGGGGTGGAAATCTGCCTTTTTGGGTGTCTGGGGACGAGAAAGTCGACGCATGGGGGCGAGCGCGTGGGCGAACGGCGTTCTTGGAACGATGGGGAATACGGGGAGAAAAGGTGATATCGTTGAGTTTGCTGGGGTGAACTCAGGTGACGCGGGGGGGTGGCGTAGGAGAGTGCCCACACATCGGGTGCTGGATGAGGTTGGTCATGCGGCCTGGTAAGTAGGGGAGTGGGCAGCTGCGAGTTGGTGATCATTGGCCACCGTGCACAGTGAGCGCTCGATGAAAGCATCCGTCCTGGGTCCACATCAATCGTGAAAGGCGCTGACGAGTCCTTCCGAGGCGGAGGTGCCGACGGGCAAGAGAGAACATCAGGCAACGCATGAATTCCAGATAAACATAGGAACGAGCCCCGTTGTCGCTTACACGCTGCCAGATGAAAACTTTGCACCTGCCATCAAGGTTTCATTCCTATAATTTGTGAATAATGACCGAGTTCACCCGGGGAAAGGGGAGGGAGCGGGTTTAGGATTTTATGGAGGGGGAGAGGGCGAGGATACGGCGGTCCCGTCAGATGAATGCTACTGAGCGGCGAATCGAACAACTCACAAGATTTCTGTGCCTCTTGTGAGTTGTACGCTCATGCACCACCGCCCTCCACCCTCCCCCTGCCCCTCACCTCCGCTTTGGCACCGGGACGAGACAAAAGCTGGCAGACTAGACCACACCCCCAAAAACATTACTCTCCCAGATTTCGCCAGCAGATGTGGCCACGCACCACGCAAAGCCCACCGTCAGCCCCCGCGCCCCCCGCCACTCCCGAAGTCAGCTCGCTTTAGAGGAGCCAATCGAAGGATCACCGCGCGGACCTCGCCACCACTCCCGAAGGACGATGTGCCATGACCGTTCGTGTGGGGCTATGCCCGCGTCGCGTTCGGGATGGCGACACCGGCGAGGGCGGAGAACCGGACGTATTTTGCGAAGTTCAGCATGGGCGCGAGCAGGGAGTAGGGGGCTTGAACGCGGACGGGGATCCGCGGGATGGTTTGAAAAATAGACTGGGAGTTGATTCACTTTTCCTCATCTGAACGGGTTTGGGGATGTGGAATGACGCGATGGTGGGTGGGTGGGGAGGACTTGCCGCAGTGCCGCTGGGTGAGAACGAGCTGACCTCTGTTTGTGCGTTTCTGAAGCGACGCCGCGTCGGTTGGCGAGGAAGGTGATGAAATATAAATGGGCGGTTGGAGACTCGCGATTCTAACCCAGGCCTTCACTTAACCGGGGTTACGTGCTAACCACTGCACTAAGTACCCAATGACATCTGTTGTATGTCATGGTACCTTCACTAAACCGTGGTTACGCGCTAACCACTGCACTAAGTACCCAATGGCATCTGTTGTATGTCATGGTACAAGGCAGAACGGGGGCTGACCTGCATGCCTGACAGGAAGAGGCCTCTGACCGCAGCAGCTCATTTTACTGCTCTGGGCCTATGACATTCATATCTTACAACACTTATCTCGCGTCACCCGTGTCATCTCCGAAGCCTATGTGAGCATGGAGGGCTGGCCACTGGCTTTACGTTCTGCCCCTCCTTCATTTTGAGATCGTAAAGGACCATTTCCAGTAATGACACCTGCGTGTTTGAATCGTTGGAAGAGTACCAACTTACTTTACTTTTTTCAATACCCTCTAGTGCTGTTACTATGTTACGTTCCAGAACAGATGGAAGATGCGGGGATGATATGAGTCCTGGCTGAAACCAATGCCGATTCTTTCACTTTGACAACGGGAGACTTTTTTTTGCTCTCCTCATTGGTCACTCTCATCCTTGTCTCCACCGCTGCCCCTTCCCATACTACCTTCTCCTCTTCCTCCTCATAAATGCCTCTTCTCGTTCTTTTTGACAATGGATCTGACCACCTACAGCGGGAACCCCCTGATTGGTGATTCATCCATCGGCCCTCTCTGTTCGCACTCCCTCGTGGTAATTCGCGATGATCTATACATATTTGGCTGAGGTAAGTGGGGTAGAAGCAAGTGAAATGTCACTGGAAGTGGATGAATCAGATCGAGACCAGAAACGGTTCCTGTCATGGTTCCATGGGTCAAGTGGCAGGCGGGGAGGGGAGGACCTTCACCTCCATCTGCCAGCAACACAAAGACTTCCCATTTCTGAAGAATCAGAAGATGCTCTACTCCTAAATGTACTCTAGCGAGTCCCCATGGACTCCCTGACCACTCCCACCATCATCACGTCTGTGGGCGCCCCTTCTCCCCGTAGTAACTTTTGCGGAGCCAATTTGGGCATGGATGGAATGATGGTGTACGGGGGGGCGTACGGGGTCTTTGGTGCTGGTTCAGCAATGGGATGCCTTAAAGATACGTTCGGTTTCAACGGTGAGTGATTAGTTGTGCGGAAGGGATAAAAAGCCTTTGAGATCGTCCTATTTATCATCGACTGAACAGCAGCTTCCTTCGCAGGTAGCACATCACGCTGGTCCAGAATGAACATCCTTACCAATCCCGTACTGATTGCTACCAGGCCTGTGCATCACTCTCTGGCAACGTCTACTTGTTCGAAGGCGTCAACGGCAGTCCCAACACCGTCACGAACCCTCTGTGCATTTTCAATCAAACTTTGTCTTGGGGGCCTGTATGTACCTCGGTTCATAAAGGCTCTGCTCTAGATAACAATGCCGAGTCTATTACAAGCGTTGGCAATAAATACCTCATCGTGTCTTTTAATTTCGAAGGAAAGGCACCTAGTGAAAATGTGTCCTCCATTGGACTTTATCTATCTGTCTTGTTTCTCATCTTTTTTGAAGGTGAGATAGGTAACGATTCGTCCTTTCACTTCTTTAACACGACCACCACCGCCAGGGCCGTCCTCGGACTTGGCTAGCTTCGTGGCCCCGGGAACTTTACCTTCACCCTTGTCTAGTTAGACCCCTCAACCAGCACCTTCTTCCCCGACCACTCAATCGGAACTGTCTTCTGCCCCAGTCACTCCACTTGGACTGCCTTCTTCCCCGACGACCCCATCTGAATCTTTATCTGCTTAGCCTATCCCCGTCCCTTCCACCTGCTCGTTCCCGCACACCGCGGCAATCGCTGGAGGAGCTGCTGGAAGCGCTGTCCTATTGCTTGCCATGCGTTCTTTCTTGCGAAAACGCCATAAAGCAACATCCCGACGGAGCCTAGATTGGTGGCGCAGATTTTACAACGATGAAGAGGGGCGCCGGGTGATGTGTGGACAGTGGAAGTGGTCAGTGAGTCAATGAAAACTTGCCAGAGGGTATCTTTGGGGGTAGCCCAAAGAAAATCGCCGATCTTCATAAGCGAGCGCCCTGAGAGAAGGCCAATGGAAGAATCGCCGGGGCGTTCCCAAATAGGTGTTCAGATCCATCGTCGAAAAGTAGATGATAGGTGCGGGCCTGAGGATCAAGATTTCGCACCGGAACGATCGCCACTTACGGGTTTCTGGAAATATTCAATTTGCAGGCCCCACGAACAGATCCAAACGCAAGCCACGCATAGTACCCCGTCTTTCTGCTGAGGGCTGGGAGGCGCTCGTGGCGCAGTCGATCACGTAGTATGCTTCTCGCTGCTCGCGTCTACGTTGCTCTCCCCTCCTTCTCAATCTCCAATCATCGTCCTAAATGCCACCTCCCGGAGCGCCGTGGCCGCTGGCTTGCCCCCCCCCTACCCCCTCAGTTAGGGTCGCCTTCATGAGCGCAGCGAGGAACAAGGACTGGCTCATCTCACCCCATCAGCCCCATTTTCGGCCCCCATTCGCGAACTCCGGGCCTCTTCTTCAAACTGCTGCGGAAAAACACAAAAATTCTAGAACTTGTTTTTCCCCATATGGATGGGCAGATGCGACCTTGGCATAATCAGCTCCAAAAGAAACGACCGCAGAAACAACCACATCCCTTCCCCCGATGAGGCGGCCGTTGTGGCAGTCCCCACCCGAGCGCGCATCATTGCAAACGTGGTTGATTGATTGTTTTGCTGGACTAGGAGCGTGGTCGCGACAGCGGCTGATACAGCAGCGGATCCTTACCGACCTTTTAGCTGTACCTTTCCTTGATATACGTACCTGGGCCGTAATTGCAAACTCCTCCTGTCCCACCTCAAGTCGCACTCCCCACCAATCCGTCGCTTCTCATGTACCTTCGCCGGGTGCAACTACAAGTGTGCCCGTAGCGACCACCTCAAATCCCACACCGAATGCCACCTCCTCTCTGACCTTTGGTTCACCTGTACCTCCAATGGCTGTTTGTTCAAGACTTCCCGGCGCGACCATCTCAATGCCCACTTACTCAAGCACGGTCCCCGCGAGAAGGCCTTCAAATGTGGTGTCTGTGAGTTCACCTGTACCTCCAATGGCTGTTTGTTCAAGACTTCCCGGCGCGACCATCTCAATGCCCACTTACTCAAGCACGGTCCCCGCGAGAAGGCCTTCAAATGTGGTGTCTGTGAGTTCACCTGTACCTCCAATGGCTGTTTGTTCAAGACTTCCCGGCGCGACCATGCG